TGCTTTTGTTTTAGTCCACTGAACCACAAGCTTGGAGAAAGGGCAAGCAGCATGGAGTAACAGAATAACACTGTCTGAGACACAAAACTGTGACAGGCACAGGGACAGACATGCATCACAAATTATGACACACTCTACTAACTTAAAGCTGGACTTGGCAGCAAAAATACATTATCAATTGTGTGCCGCTTGTGCTATTGCAACCAAAGAAAAGGAAAAAAAAAAAACAAACAAAAAAAAAAAAAAAACACACTAAACATAAGGTAGCATTGCAGGGGAAAAAGAAAAAAGTGCATTAAAAAAAACTAAACATATACTTCTAGTGTGCATGCAAAATGAGTACTACGAGTTAGTAATCCTAGTACACAGTCAAGACTTGCCAATGAACTTTAAATGCACTAGTCTCGCACACACTGGAGGGTTTGTTATTTTGTGGGCTCATATTGCCCATCGGTTCGATAGAAACCAGTTAAGAATAAGAGAGCCAATGCCAACAATTTAGATCTTCTAAAGTATTGCTTATTAATAAGAAATCATTTAGCTATTCTAAATTGATTACCTCTAAACGGCTGCGTCTAATGTAAAAAGGTGTTGGACAAAAAAAAAAATAAAAAAAATATCAATGACAGGAAATCACAGGAGCCGATACAATAAACAGCTTTCAACAGGTTACACACCTACATCTGATTGCACTGTGTTACTTGAACACTAATGCTTGTAGATCTACATCATTAAAATATACCCATTTATGTCAAAAAGAAGAGCTTAGGCATTGCTAAAATGCTCATTGAGCTGGTCTGTGACCGACTGATCAAACCATACTGGTCTCTTGAAAGATGTCAAATTTCAGGGGATAATAAAAGGAACATTTATCATACAATGGCAGGCTGTGTGTAGGTGGAAATGGTACAAAACAGCATCCATGCTTGACCTTGCCTTCTACTTGTTTACCTTCCTTGTTATAGTTATCATTCTCACTTTGGAAAGCTCCTCATGTTTTGTGTCCTGTTTACCTAGAGGTAACTATAAACTAGCTATTGAAATGCACAAGAATCAGTGCTGAAGCATTCTGTTTGACCTCTTCTTTTTGGAACCCGCTTCAGCACGCACAATTTTAGTCCATGTTTTAAATACAGGTGGCTCAAGCTAGTGAAATTGAACTATTGGTAAGCAAAGTTGATAAACGGTTAGCAGAAAAAAAAAAAAAAAAAAAAAAAAAAAAAAAAAAAAGAAGAACACACACCTATAAAATGTTACCTGTACGTTGCTTTAGTGGCTTTCTAGAAGCCTAAAAACCAGGGCACTCAGCAAACTTCAGCATGGACCTCCAATACTGGGGCTTTGACCTACAGGATTACCTGGCAAAGAACATTCAGTTCTGCTACTAGTTTTAAAAAAAAAAACAGTGATCTGAAAGTTGTTCAACGGTATTTCCTTTAGCCGGTTCGGATGTTAATACAGGACAGATGAGCCACCAGGAGCAGGTGTTCAAAACGCCTGAAATGTCAAATACCTGCAGCAGTCAAAGCAATAGCATTTGAAGAAGAAATCAGAATTCATTAACTGGTTAAAAGGGCAACTGCTCCCAAAACTAAAATCAACATTGGGTAGGTTAACCATCCTCTGGCTTTTTTTCCATCTCTTGTAGACGCCAACTATTGAATTTCTCACCGCTAGTTTCTTTCCACTCCTAACAAGGCCTTAAAACAGTGTCACCATCTTACAGCTTGACCCCCAAAAGATATGCAGTGAAGAATCACAACATGATTATATGACTGTCACAGCTGCTTCAAAATTGGGGAGATATCTTGCAGATTAATGATTGAAAACTATTCCTTTAAGAAAAATAATATATATATATTATTTTTTTTACAGTAAAGCAGAGCATCTCCCCCTGCTAAACTGCATCATCTCAGAATAGAAATGAATGGTAATTGCTGTACATGCAATGGTTTTGCAAGTTAATTACTCTCCTCCATGCTTGGGTGACAGCAATCCTCATTTCATTACCATAAGCTGATGCAAATCAGCAGAACGTCTATATGAAGAACGATGTGACATGTACAAAGTAATGGTTTCTGATGCAACTATGGATTGATCTGGACCACAGTGATGTCCTGCTTTCCAGACTAAGCAGAACATAGCTGTATTAAATCGGTGACCAATGAAAGAGCCATAATTGCTTTGAGTGTTATCCTTTAAAAGGGAACTGAAAAACAGTGCTGGAATTTCTTGAGGACCGGCTTGCACAAAATCAGTTATGACCTTTAGAAGCGCTTAGCTCTCTCAAAAGTTGAAATACAACACTTTGCATGCACAAGAGGACTGTGGGAAATCACTAGAAACATAACTTGTTAAACTGCGGTCTTCATTTTACTTGTTTCTCTGCAAATGCACTTTTTGCCCTTCCCCAGCAGTGGCACAGATAAGCACAACATAAGAAAGTCAGTGGTAAATAATATGTGGATTACAAATTATAGGAGGAAGGGTAATGAAATGCCTATAGATTGCTACACCCTTAACATTCAGTGTGCAACTGCAAACACAAGAAAAGAAACCAGTGTACAGTACTAGTACTGTTTAAATAACACAAGATTATACATTGCAGCATAGGTAATACTACACACATTCGTTCTTAGTACATGCTGGTATATAGGTTCTCAACCGCACATATTCACGCTCTTGTGCTCGACACAAGCAACCACGTAAAGCATAGTCACCAACACTCACCCACACATACATACCACTCACCTGCACTCACAGTATCTGAAGGCTCTATAACAAGGTAGATTGCTAAACTGTTTGGAGCTACCACTGTATCTTGTTTTTCTTTTTTCTCTTTGTTTAAATATAAAAGCACATGCTAAAAGATCACATCCACGGTAATCTTGCAGCAAAAAAAAAAAACACTCGGAATGATCACACGAAAACCAGGGAATGTTAGTGCACACACAAAATAAGCTACGGAATATAAAAAATAATAATCTTTGGAGTCCCAATCACACGGTTAGTATAACAATCCCATAATTGTGAAGACTAATTAGAAGCTTTATAATTGATTAAATCACACAGTGCAAAAAGAGGTCTATTGACCCTTTTGTGTAAAGAATAGGCTGGAAGCCACACGGGTTAAGTTCAATGGATTTTTTTTCTTCTTGTGACTAGGAACACCCGAGCTGGAATTGTGCACCGACATTGGTCATTCTGAATCGCGATGTACTTCTGAAGCATCAGCTCGACATATTGGGCAGGTACGATTTGCCTAGAGGACAAAAAGGAAACAAGAAGCTTTTAAATAAAAGTTAATAGGCTGGGGTGCAATTCAAAACACTGTAGAAATGGATGAATAACCGGATCTCAACTCTCCATTCCAAGTCCTGTACCGGTTTTTATTTATCCACACAAGTGCCATTCCCATTGACAGGTATAGGAACTATGAGCCATAGCATTGGTTGGTCTTCTACACAATATTTTACTGCTTAATGTTTGGTTAATGGAAGGAGAAGGCAGCCTAGTCATGCTGTATTTATTTACCAATATTACATTTTAAAATTACAACTAGCAACATCTGGCTGAGGGGATTGTGATGATGTGCTTTCCGTTCTCTTCACACAAATCTAGGAGATCCTGCTATCCTAGAAGTCTCCTTTAACCCCGATAGAAAAGCACCCTTTGAATGACAAACACTAAAGTCGTCTTTGTCTCAGTTCCAAAGAAACCCATCTACATGGCTTCTATATGTGCTCCTTGTTTGTGTGGGTTTCCTCTACCTATTCTGCTCTTCTCCAACATCATATTAGTGGTTAATGGACTTCTACACAAACAGTCCCAACATAGTGTGTGCATGCTGTGGTAGTGACATTAAATTGGAGCACACACATTTTCATTTTTTACGTTGCTGAAAAGAATCCTAGCTGCTAAGCTCAACAGATAACTACAATCCCTTTCAGGAGAGATCACTTCTAAGTTAAAAAAAAAAAGGCTTTATTTTTTATTTGGATGAAAAATTTTACATAATTAAATATTTACCACTTGCAGCCAGCAGATGGTGTGTGTGAGGCTGCATCTGCAGCTCTTTCCTGGCTGTCTTACTTATACTGTTAACAGCCTGAACAGCTAACTTGTGCCCAGATCTGAGGACAACAAATAACATACACAGTGAATGAGATGGGACACACTGTCTTTCTCCTTCCTATCAGATATGAACATGTGAGGACTATAAATTAGAAAGGAGCAGTCAAGTGAGCAGACAAGACTAGGCTTTCAGATTAAAAACCCAGCATGTTCTACAAACAAAATGTGATGGAACTTACCCTCTATTAAATATACGATTGCAGAATAAAAATTATACATTTGAATGGGGGGAAAAAACACAACCCATAAATGATATTAAAATGATCAGTTTAAAAATTTGTAAACATTTAAACTAGGGATGCACTGAAATTTTGGCCGAGTAAGGTATTTTGGGCAAAATACCGAACGCAACATTTTTTTTTCCTCACAGGAGACTGAGCTCCCCCCGCACTGTTCACTCAGCCTCCTGTGATAGCGAGTAAGGATGGAGAGTGGTATACAAGCTCTCAGCTGATCACTGTTTGTTAATAATGGAGGACAATGCATGTTTACTGTGTCCCCCATTTATGAAAAAATAGGAAGTGCTATACATCACTTCCTGTTCATGATTGTGGACATGGTAGCTGACACTTTCTTCATTTTATGAATGGACAGGAGCACTCAGTATAGAGGCTTCCTGTTCATTTATAACAGAGCATGCAGGAGAGATTTAGGACTATGTGTCCTCAATCTCCATTTCAAAAGGGAAATATCAGGGGACTGTTTAGACCCCTGATATATCCTCAGTATCCCCAACAGTAAAGTAAAATGTAAACATTTAAAAAAAAACAAAAAAAAAAAACAACTAACTTTCTTCCCTGTATTACATCAGTGTCTTTAGTGCTTCTACATAAATTAGGTTTACTATTTAACAGGAACTGTAATGGTTTACGGTCACTTATTTTTAATATGTTTAAATTGGAGGTGCACCGAAATGGAATTTTCTGAAACTTAAAAAAAGAAGAAAAATATATATGTGTCAGGCTGAAGCCGAAATGTTTTTTTTTTTGCTAGACACACCTTACTTCATGACTAGTAATTCAACTGAACAATGCAGCAGGTAAACTTTGATAAGTCAACCTTGGGCATAATTGACCAACCCTTAGCTACATTTAATTTCTGAAATAGCAAGAAAATAGGAGAAAAAAATAATGAATAGCCCAAGTGTTCCATACATCGATTTTAAAATGAAAAGATGCTCACCTTTAGCCACTTGTCGACACACTTGGCATGAAATTCATGATTACATGGTAAGACTCTTAGAAGCTGTCTTGACTCGAAATCACACATGCACACTACACACCTAAGAAAGATAAGAGTTCTGGGTTAGGCTCCAACTTCTACAAGTTTAGAAAACACACAAAGATCAAGAACAAAGTCATGCTAAAACCACCAAAATGGTTCTAGCTTATATTGAATATACTCCTAAAGTGTATTTCCACCTTTGCAGCCAAATTGGGATAACACCTATTTTATATTTGTTACATGCTTCCATTTACACAGCATTAGCTAAAATAAAATATTTTTAAAGATGCTTCTCGCAGTTTAAATTGCTTTTACTTGGGTCAGGGATTCTTGGCTTCTTAAGGATTACAATTTCTATTTGCTGCTTCTTTGTAATGATAGGAGGGGTTGTAAGGGGTTTGTTCATTATAATGAATAACGTAGATTTTAACACTGCCTGTCCTAACAAAGAGTTAAAGGCTAAAAGCCCTGGCTTCTCCATTGTATGGCAATGAGGGAAACACAATCCTCTAATTTCAGTCCTAAGTCTTTCTATAAAGAACACTTAAGGTGCTGAGAGGGAGAAAAAAACCCCCTGGATTCAGCCATGTTGCCTGCTGCAACACATCTAAATAAAAGGTAAGACTTTTTAAAATAAAATATTATGTGGAGTGAATGGGAACACAAACATTTGACTGCAATAGTGAAATACATGAATTTTAAAAGTAAAAGCATAGTTCCATGGGTGTCCATAGAACACTCAAACAATATTTTGCTAAAAGCTTTAAAATTTTAAAAATACATTAAAAAAACAAAAATCTCCAGTAGTTCCTAGGCCTTCTAGGTGTAACTTGGGAGATGAATGTTATCAAGCTTCCTCCCTGTTGTTTTCCCTAGCCCTATTTGGCTGGGTGTGCGCCCCATGGTTTTCAGTGACCAGTCCCAACACTTCCAGTCATATGGTGGCAACAGAACACACTGTTACTCTAGGACAGGATACGAGTTGCTGGCAGGATCACCAGCTGAAAATAAAAGGACATAACCTAAAAATAGAAAAAGAAAGTGATACAACTACCACATTCAGAAATGTACACTATAATTACAGTTTTGTTCTTGGGTTTAGATGTGCTTTAATGTACCAGGCTGCTGTTACACAACCCCAATTCCCAAAAAGTTGGGACGTTGAGTAAAATCTACATAAAAATAGAATGCAATGGTTTGCAAATCTCATAAACCCATATTTTATGCTCAATAGAAAACATAAAATGTTAACTGAGAGAATGTACCATTTTAAGAAAACAAATAAGGTAATTTTGAAGTTGATGGCAGCTTTCGTTAACCTTGGATCTGAAACATAAAAAAAACCCAAAAAACAACTTACAATGTCTGTTCCGACTGGTGATTGTTTGGGTTAAACCTGTATGACGGAAGTTGCTCAATATCTGCTTTCGTTAATCCCCGTGGTTTCGCTTCACCCAGTCTTTCAGCGAGATTTAACAAAGCCTACAATGAAAAAGGTTAAGACAGTTAATATAAACCGATGTATTTTCCATTATAGGGGCCAAAAGACTAAAGGAGGGATAACAGATTTTTAGGCAATGCAGAAACAAAACAAAAACAAATGGCTGGCTAATTATTACTTTAGCAAAAAAAAAAAAAAGCGTTCGTGAATACATACACCAACCTCATAGTTTTCCACTTCCCCATCTTCCACATCCAACTCAAAGCTAAAGGCTGGTCCTACAGTAGGAGGCACTGGAAGCATGGAACTAAAACAAGAACAAAATAGATTTAGTGACCACATCCATAAAAGGATCAAACATGCATCTCAAGACAGTTCTCCAGCCTTACACCATTGCATTTCTGCTATACAAAAATCACTTACTCTGATTTCAATGCACACTTGGAGCTTCTTACAAACTGCATTAGAAGTTGCTGTAAGTGCCTCATGTAATGGCTGAAGGACATCAAGCATCCTCTAGCCATTTCTTTCCAGTAGGGCTGCAACTAACTAAACGATTAATCAATGAGTGTAGTTGAGAACTATTCCCATTATCGATAAAGTTGGTTGGATTCCCTAGCTCTCTCCTCCACACCGGGGGGAGGTCACAGCAAGCAGTGGGCTGGTTCCATAACCAGCCTGCTATTGCAATTTTAAATGGCCAATAGCAGGCTGGCTATTGCACCAGCCCATTATCTGCTGTATTTACATTCAGGGCAAGTTCAGACCAGAGGCAGTTTTGATGCAGTCCGTTCAGTTTGGCTGCTGCAACCAAAATGCATCACAACATTTTCCTATGGGATTTTTGTTGCTCTATTCACACTAGGGATGCACCGATACCACTTTTTTTGGGTCTGAGTACGAGTACCGATACTTTTTTTTTTAGTACTCGCTGATACCAATTACAGATACTTTTTCTTTAAGGGGCAGATATAACTTTTTTTTATGCTATCCTGTGCCCAGCCCACACCTGTAGTGTGGCACAGTTATATCTAATTCTGCATACCTGGACACACCATTGCAGTCTGTTCTGATGCAATCTGAAAAAGCACTGCTTGCCCTATTTTAGCTGCATCGGATCGCAACGGAACACAAAACCGCTTGCAAATGCACCTGAAATCCCCATTTTAAGCAAACCCCCCCCATCAATCACAATAAAATGCCGGCAAAGCGCATTGCAGCTGCGCAAATGCACAAAATGGCCAACAAATCGTGTAGGAAAATTAGTTGCAGCCCTACTTTCCAGCCTTACTGTTCATGGCCCAAACCTTTCATTAATTGTATTTCAGTTATGTAAATCATGAAGGCTCAGAAATCACAAGTGGGCGTTACATAGGGCAGTCTGAATGGAAATTTTGAAATGTATTCAGCTTTTCCAGAGAGCTAGCCCAGTGCTTGCATTAGGGGCTTGAGAAAGTACTGAGGCAGAGCGCTGTGATGCTTTCGGGAAGCTATGTAAGGCTTCTTTAAGACATCACGGTGTCTAAAATAAGTTATGTAAAAAAAAAAAAACAGAAAGGCTCCACTTTAAATTTTTATTAGCATGTTGATTGGGGGAGAGGCAAGATAGAGGAACCAGTGAAGGCAAAATATAAGCAGATTAAACTTCAGCTATAAAGTTTTGAATGGTTGAAAGAAATAGTGCCTTTGGCTGGATTTACCAATGCATGAATATCCTAGGTGAACCAAATGAACCCTATTAGGAAAATATATTTGTTTTTAACCAGGTAAATATTAAATCTTTTGTATAAACAATTCTTCTTAACCATTAGTATCCAGAAAAGGGAGCTAGACAGAGTTTGTCAACTCAAACCTCTTAACATACAGCTGTTATGCTAAAACTATCCAGAGCAAATGTAAATGTGAAATATCAGGGGCCATAATGCTTCTGCCCCTAACTTTTCAAGCACCTCCTGCTATCCCACTATGTCCCTAAACGCACGGATTGCTTGGGCCAATCAGCAGGACAAACACTTTCATGTGGAAGGTGAGGCATATAAAGCCATATTCAGATTCTGACTTTTTATAAAGCCTGTGTCTGTATAGCATTTTTGGGAGTTACCAGTAGGTGAATAATGTTGCATCATACATCACCATACTTGTTCCAACCAATTTTTCAGCGAGCGAGAGCCACTCACACACCGATATAGAAGCTTGTGAACGTAGGAAAAAGGTGTAATAAAAATGATCAAACCATTAAGTACCCACTTTTATATAGAGCATTTCCATAGTTGGCCATGTGCATGCACAGGGGTCAGATAATTGACAACTATGGGGTATGGAATTAAGTATTTTTACATGCATGCCAACACTGACACACTGGAAAGGATTACAGTTGTTCTAGGAGTATTTAATCCACAAGCAAATGCACTGGGACTAGATCACTAGATATACAAATATATTCATACAAATTGATTTAACCCGATACACAGGTACAGGAAAAGTGCGGCTATTTTTTACGAAAAACTCAGCTCAGACCTCACAAAAAAACACCAAGAGGCCAACCATGCAGAGCTGCCCAGCATTTTACTGGTCTCCATTTGGTATTGAGGAGACACATGAAAAAGACCAACATATGGCATTGGCAGTTCCAAGGGATCACAGCTTCACCACACAGTAAACCCCCCCCAAAAAAAAAAAAAAATAATAATCCGACATTTATCTTTTTTTTTTCTACTTTTGCAGTTTACAGGCACATGGCAATTATAAACGCTTGCTAAACTAATGAAGCTCTGAGGACTAATAGTTTGATTATACAGCTAAATAGGATAAAAGTAAAGCTAAGTGCACAGAAAATTAATTTCTGGCGTGTGAAGAGGGTTAACACAGCAGAACTCAACACTTGCCATTCAAAGTTTTGTGGTCACATTCTGGCTGAGCTACAACATGGCAAAGAAGTGCTATTTTTGTGCAAGCTTGCCATGACCTGAATATGTAGAACGGAGCAAAATTAAATAAAAACATCAAACAGCTGCCAGACCAGCTCACTGCAACACATACATGGTATTGTTACTCAGCCAGCAAGTATTAAAGTGAACACAAGCATCTCTGTACTAACAATATAAAAATGAAAGCGAAGGCAAGGGCCTGTTATATTACTGAATAATGATGAGTTACTCTGGCCAACCAAAACCTCTGAACTTTTGGTTGTTAAAGCCCCACCTCAGCTAAAAATTTATATTTTTGTATCTTTAGTTTTAGATAGAGCAAGTAAAAAATGGAATATCTGTTAGGATTTAATTGCTTTCTAGATTTTTACTGGGAAAAATCCTCTCGCTTTCTATCCATGACAAACATTTACAAAACCGAGAGGGCTAGTGGTCACCAGAACAGGAAGACTAAAACACCAATATAACAAAACTAGGAAGATTAGTCATTTTATGTTAATCAACATTTTTTACTAATAACAGCAAGTAGAAAATGAAAATAAAATTCCAACATCAACATGGTTCTAACATCTTCACTGAAAAAAAAACCAAAAAAAGTTTGACTGACAATTACTCGGTCATGCAACAGTGTATCCGAATTAATTTTATGTAATTTCTGAGACACACAGAGCCTTTATGTGGTGGTATTTAACCAGTTCACCTTTGGGACGACTCTATACATACACACGATAAAATCTGCATTTTTGGCTACATGATTACTTTTAAAAAAAAAACAAAAAACAAAAAAACTTCAAAAAACTCAAGATTACCTCTACAAGTTCCTGAAAGTAGAAGTCCTATATATAATAATAATAATAAAAAAAAAAAAAAAAA